CCACCCCAGCCTCAAGGCTTTGCTTGTGAATTTGACTGTCATGGCTGCAGGGAGGGAAGGAGCAGGGATGGGGCAGGGGCAGGCCCCTGCCTATCCCTGCCTGTTCCTGCCTGCCCCTGCCTGTCCCTGAGCCCTCTCTTCAAGCTCTGTGGCAGAATTTAACCCCTGGGGAGTAGGGTGGTGCGGGTGAGCACTGTGTTCATGCCCAGCTGGGGTTCCAGCACTGGACCAGCCCTCCCTGGTCCCTCGCTGCACCCACCTCCCCGGGTGGGTCTTGGAGCCTGAGAGCCTTCTCCTGTGTAAAGGCTTTTGGATTTCAAGCTATTGGTCTCTTCCATGGTCCAGCCAGCCTTCATCCCTGAGTACATCACTGCCATCTCTCTGTCCCTCCTTTGCTCCTGCCTTTGCCCCGTGGCTTCCATCTCTGTGTTGGGCTGGTGCCACCGTTAATGGGTCCCCAGCACCAAATGGACAACAGGCTGCTGCTGCTGCTGGATCCGGGAAGTTCAACTCACTTTTTTCCCCTCATCTACCTCTCTATATTGTAAATCTAAACCAGGCTGCTCCTACCTGCCTCAGCTCCCACTTGCTCCCAGCTTGACTTTCCTGGCTGCGAGGAGCCCACCGTGCATCGCTGGGCACAGCGCTTCCCTCCGGGAGCTGCCTCATTCAAAGTCACGGCACGGCAGCTTCTCTTTGATTTCTCTGTGTCAAAACTACAGGTTTTACCAGCTTTCTCATTTTCCAGAGTTGCCTCCAGGCTTCGTGGGGGTCATTCCCCCGTTCAGCCCCTGCTTAGCCAACTCCCTGCCGGGTTCTGCTGCCAGGCCCTGGAAAAGATGTTTGTTTGCTCTTCTTCCAAGAGTGGGGAACAATAAACACCGGCCAGATCAAAGTCCAGTGCTCAGATGGGTGAGAGGGGTTTAAATCCCACTCCTGCCGGTGCATCCCAGGTGCCTGATGTGTCTGTCAGACACCCCTTTCCCTCACAAATGGTTGAGGCATCACATCAGGGAGGGGTGGGAGAGGAGCAGCCTGGAGGGGTGGCCTTCAAAGGGTGTCCACGAGGCATCGTGTTGCTATTTCAGTGTTTTCAGCACTTAAATCTGAGTGGGAACGCTGGTGATTTTGGGGGCTGATAACGGAGCCTGGATCCAAGAGTTGGGGAGGCAGAAGCCACCGGGCTGATGGAGCAGGGGGAGCCAGGAATGACAGCATTTCCCTCTGCCAGCTCTGACCCGCTCTCATTCCTGCTCTTCACAGTGCCAGCAAATTAAAGCTATTGCCTGGGAATCCTCATACAGCTCCCCCCCTACACCGTTTTCTTTTTGGCCCTTTTAACCTTCTTTCCAATTTTTTTTTCGTTTCTTTTTTTTATCAGAAGCTTTTTCCGTGGACTGGTTGTTTAATTTAGCTTTAACAAAAAAAACCCCTATAGTTTCCAGGCTTTCATACCAGCATCTAAGCTTGGCTTGGGGAAGCGGCGCTGGGCGGCGTTTCGCTGTGGAAGTGTGTGTAAATACCAGCAGTCTCTAAGCAGAGCACAAGTAATGTTTTCTTCCAGGAATATCAAATCACGGAGAAGAGATACCGCCAAACACTTGGAGACACGGGTTGCCAGAGGCAGTTGTTTTCCTCATAAAGAAATTTTAGTTTGATGTTTTCTCCAATCCAGAATGAAAAAAAAAGGGGAATATAATAAAATATACAGCATATAGCTTGCTGCTTTATATTTGCAGCTGGGGGATTCAAAAAAAAAAGTGGTGTTTTCTCCTATATATTTTTATATATATATATATATATAGTTTTGTCCTATATTTGTATATAGGAGTGTTTCTAAGTTGTCCTTGGGTAAGATTGATGCCATCAGGGGGTGGCCACAGTTGTCCTGCTTCTTCTCAGCCTTTGGTGGCAGACACTAGGTCAGTGTGGGACGAGGTCCTGGCTTGCTGTGTCACCAGGAGAGGCACAGAGGCTCCTGTCCCTTGGAGGGACAGTCCCCCAAGCCTGGAAATACCCCAGCCTTCCTCTGTACGGAGGTGTTTGAGGATGAGGAGGGGGAGGAATCGGGGTCACACCAGAGC